GAGGCTCACGTGCACTCATGTTACTGTATCAAATAACACAAAACTAACCTCTGGTGTGTACAAAGTAACTTGTCTAGGCTGTGTTTTAGTCCACTAGTTTTTTGTAAAATACAATCACATTTCAATTATTATACATTACATATGTATATAGATTATTGCTATTTTGAAATAAGTTCTTAAACATATTTTTACTAAAACATGGAACAGTAAAAAATAAGTAAAGCAAACAATTATCTCTTCTAGTTACAACCTTTGTACTCAGTTGTTGCTTGATGTAGGTTGCTAAGCCTTTAAAATTTTTGCACGTGGAGGATATGAAACAAAATATTTTTTTTTAGGTTTTATATATATATATATATATACTTTAGAATAACTAAAAAATCATAAATTACTACATCAATACCATGGAATTCTACTATAATTTATCAAACGTAGCAACTAAGCTGTATTTGGGTCTAACAAAATATGAAATTTCGAGGAGACTAAACACACAACCTACCTCAATGAAATCTTGATTTACAAGAAAGAAATGATACTACCAATAGCAATCTCTGATAGCCCTGTTATGCACTATTACTCTACAGTACTCTTATGGTGTACACTGAGATTAATGTTGTTCCCCTCTTATTTTAAATACTTTCTAAAGTCCATAAACTATGTATAGACAATAATTTCTGAGGGCCTCTTTAAGCACACCAAAGGTGTAGAATTTCATGGAAGATTTCTGCAAACAGCATAGCATGAATTTCCAGTTCTACTGGCTTGTTAATTTTGATTTGAGTTTTTATGCTTCATCTTGATGGGGCTATACCTTATTGGCATCCAGTCCATACATAGATGGAATTTCTTCAAGGCACAGTGATATAAGCAAAGATCACCATGGCATTTTTCCTAATTTTTTGGATGTTTAACTTACCATTATACTTGTAATCTGCACCGCTATACATCCCTTCCAAAATTATCATAACATGCTCCATAATATTTTTGAAATGTTATATTGTTCTTATGCTGATAATAAATTACTCAAGACTTTCAGACTTAAGAAGATGTATGCTTTGCCCAACGTTATGACATACTTCAATTTGTTAGATGTCAGAAAATGCATATAGAGATTTCAGCAGTTATCTTCTATTTGGCTATGTGATTTGGGAGATGCTTGCAAAAACCTCTCGTGTTATTTTCACAGACTAAATCCATATGAATTAATCTCATTTAACAGTACTAAGGAAGGTCCTACTTTAGCTAAAATTGATGGATGTATTCTCTGATTACTTCTAGTGAATGGCTATTTAACACTTTTCACTACCTCCAATGTGTGTGTGACTGGTAGCTGGATACAGATTAGCTTATCTTTTTCTTTGCTGGGATCTTGCTTTCTTTCATCTTACAGTAATGATTAATCTAGCAATATCCGTTTTTTTATAAGGTGCTAAAGTTTTATGCCTTACATGATTTCAGAATCAAAGAATACAAGAACTTTGTATTAGAAATCCTCGTAATGTTACACTCCCAAAAGGGGTCAATTTTAGGTATTTTTGCAATTACAAGTTGCCAACTAAATCCAAAAAGAGAATTAGGACTTTTAATCTGGTTACATGGATGGTTAGGGACTAGGTAAATATATATACATAAACTGTAGCAATAAATTATGAACAACCCTCTGTATTCCTTGCGTTAAATGAAAGTTAAAAGTACAGAATAACAATTCAAGCTATGTTATTTCTTGTAATTTTCATAAAAGGTATTTTTGAACAGGGTTATAATTGCATAAATGTATAATACGATTTTTCTTCAAATCAATATAAACATTATATATAAAATCAATATGAAATAATATTATCTGCCTATACAGAAAAGAACGTTTACAGCAAACATTTGTTTTAACAGTACTTATACATCAGTTATTCTTCAAAGATTTTCAAATTGTTTAAGAAATGAGAAAAGCACATAAATATACATTATCAAAACCTGAAAACTTAATATTTAATAAAAGTATAATATTTTAAAATGAATATGAAATGCAAAGTTAACATGTATGTGATGATAAACAAAGACAAAATAAAGTTTTATTTTTTGTGTAATTTGATATTCACTAAAAGACACAGTTAATATTTTGAAAGGCTTCTGTCATGATGTTTTGACAAGAAAAATATATTTGTTGAAGATATGCTAAATGTTCCCAGACCTAAATATAATAGAATATTAAAGGATTAATTAATTTAGATATTTTAATCCATAAATGTGTTTCTACCTGCATTTTTCTGGATGTTCCTCTCTTTTATTGTGAAATTGTAAGGTGATCTTTGCATCCAAGCCAATTCCAAAGTAGTTATTCATAACACATTTCTCTTCATACCCTTCCCTGTACCATGAGAATAATCACAGTTTTAAACTACTGTAGGTGCTATAAACATTTTGGTTAAAAAAATATAATTAACATATTATAATGCTTTTTATGGCTACAAGAGCCTTGGAAGAAGTAAGTTCTCTAGATGAGAGAGTCAGGAGAAATTGGTGTTTTTGAGTAACTTCCATAACCAATCTTCAGGTAAATTTTTTGGGGTTCAAAAAGTTACCTGAAACTTCGTAGCCCACTGACTCTCTCTAGCCAACCTGACGACAGCTTATGGAAGTTACATGAAATGTCTTCACTTATTAACTCTCTCTTGTCCAGATGATTCGGTATTTCCAAGGCTGTTGGAGTCTACTAACAATTTTCTAGTTATGAAAACTGAAGCATCTACAACGAAATAAGTTAAAAAGTTTAATATCTGGTTAAAAATGAATTGATACAATATGTATTGTGAGACTTTTTACAGAGAGAATAATATATCTAGTTAAAATTAGAGCTTTTCAAAGTCAATTACTCCTTGAATTTTCTTTTCACTTCCTTCTGCACATCATTTTCAAATATGTGATATTGTACAAGATTAATTTCCAAAAAATATATTTTAAACATTCTATCACATCTAATGCCTTCTAGTGTTAGAATCTATTATTTACAGTAAAATTTGTTTAAAACTGTATATTGAACAAATACTTACAGATATCAATATTCCTAGTTAAAGCTTTATGGTAAACTAATAATAATACATATATTCATTGTGAAACCTATATTCTACTTTGTGTTAAAGTCTTACGTAAAGTGATGTTCCTGAATTGAGTTACAAGTTCACAGTAACCAACCTAATTAATAATATCTGGTAAAATATTAACCATAATAATATTCCTATTGAATTACAGTATGGGCAATACCAACAGTTCTCAACTTTTTGGTTCAGGGTCCATTTGTAAATACTGATCCTCAGTTGTGACCCGGTAAACAGCTTTAGTGGAAAAAAACACCACATTTACGATATACTTACTAAATAAATACACTATTATTATTTTTAAAGTGTATTTGTGACCCTTTCATGCATTCTGATAACCCACTATCCATAGGTTGAGAAACACTGTTATATTACTTACACTGGCATTTCCTCAATATCCATTAATGGTGATACTGCAGCACAAAGAGCATCTGCATTAGCAAGCAGAACCTTTCCAACTAGACTATCCCTATTCAGATTAGGCCACAAGGGAAGTGAGGTAAGAGGATTTATGATAGGAAAATGTCTAGTTTCTACTGGATTTCTTTCTGGAGATTGACTCTGTTCTCGCTCAACTACTCGAGGTAGGGGGTGCCCAACACCAATTTTACCAGTAGTTTTGAAAGCTGTTCCACTACTGATCCTTCGTGATGCTGTAGGAGATGCCTCAGCTAGAAATATTAATACTAGTACATCTCCTAAGTAACACAATATTTATACACATTATAATTACACTGAAACATCAAATGGTGAAAAGTATGTGAACGAGGTTTCTGTCCTGTTCTCTATTGTATAACTTATATAGAATTATACAGAAGTTCAATACCATAACATTTATTTTATTTTAATTTCATAGTGTTATTGTACACTCCAAAGGCGGAGGTCAGTTCTCTTATCTGTTTCTCTAGGTTAGTTGCATATTTAATACATGGCTGCCATAATAACTCTCTTAGCAAACTGCTAAAACTCACATCTAACCTCCTTCTGTCTTTCAAACACACTGTATCTTGCAATTTCTTAAGTTTAGTATTTTTAGAAGTAAACATGGTGATCATATTCATTCTAACTTATACAGCATTTAGATCTATGTTTAAAATCAAGAAATATTCATTCAAGGCAAGAATGGTTGAAGAAAATACAAAGGAACCATTTTTAAAATATCTTCAGCAACTACTTATGCAGGTTAAGGAAATGGATTTACAAAGAATATTACGTTTAAATAAAAATTAGTCTTTTAAGAGTTGTTTTTTAACGAAGCACTAGATAAAACATTGATTTTTAATAAGTACGTATGTATATATATATATATATATATATAAATAATGGACAACTAATAGATATGCACAATTAAAAGCTTTAAGGATATTAGTTCCAGATGTCCATTCTTCAGCAGTGGAGCACATTTATACAGATTACATAATTTGGTCATGAATGAATTAATGGGATTAACCACACATAAACATAAAAATGCATAAATGGCAAAGTGATTTAAATGGCTTAAACAGAATCAAACTTCATCTTAGATGACTCTTATGATTGTGAAGATTCAATATTAATGACATTTTTAACTTCCTTTCTGAAAATAAATATCACATAACTTTCATATGTTTTTTCATGACTGAAAAAGCAAATTCCTGAGGTCAGCTCTGGGCTCTTGAAGCTACAGCCTATGAGTTGAATGACAGTGAACAATGTCAATAGATGAATGTCAGATTTGAATTTAGTTTTTAAGCTTATTTTCATTGTTCACAAACAAGTTTTTCACAGTCCCACACACAATTACACTGCCAACATTCTGGAAGAGGTTGTTTTAATATGAAGAGTAACTTGAAAAAACAAACACTGTTTATGACATAAAAGCCATAACCAAAAATAATTACTTGTCATTCAGAACATAAATATAAAATGTTAAACATAACTACATCACAAATCATAGGTTCTTTATATTTAAAATATAAATCAAAAATAACACACTGCTGCTAACATAATAGCTATACAATCCTGACTCAAAAACAGAATTCTAAAGTAAAAAAGTGAAGAGCCAAAAAAAAAGGCTCAAATAAGTAGTTATGTAAGAATCATGTAATTAATGCTTAGGAACATTTATTAATAAATATTTATAAATATGTGTTTACATAAAAGCTTTGCACTGAAGAACCCCATATTTTACTATTAATGGATAAGAAAACATCATAGAAGACAACAGCACTGAAGGATAAATAGAAACTAGTAATTTAAATTTTAAAGTGGAGCAATATTCTTTTCATTTAAATAAGTATGATTCAATAATTCACAGTTAAAAATACAAATGGGAAACTTTTAGACTTACATTTCACACGTATCTCTGGAATGGTTGCATTATCAGCTTTTTCTTCATATCTGGTGTCAGTTAACATGGAAGATATAGAAGCAGGACTTGTCTTTCTAAGAGGAATAGAAAGAGAAGGGGAGCTGGATTGAAGTGAATTATGAGAGTGGCAATGGGAGTTTAAAGGAAGAGTAGTAAGGAGACCAGAGGAATGAGGTGAAGGACAGGGTGAGCTGTCAGCACTGATACTGTCTTCAATATTAGGTAACATGACCTGTGAGGTGTTTTTCAGAGCTCCCCCAATGCTTTGTCCCATGACTGAGCCATATGGATTACAACATGAGGATGGAGAAAGTTGTGTTGAAGATGCATCATCTGAGTGGAACGTGGTGGTACACAATGGAATGACCTTTTTCTGAGATTCCATTACTCTATTTGAATTGAAACCTACGTTAATATCACATGTGCCTGCTGCATCAACAGGGGGCTGTTGTTCTTTAACTTGTTCATTCTGCTCATCAACAACTAAATGAAGAAAAAAAAAAAAAAAATACATATACTCCATTACCATTTTTCTTACTACAGCATTAAAGCATATTGTTTTTACAAAATGCATGTCCTTAACCCTATGTGCATGGGTGGGAGTCAATGTGTGCATGCCATGACCTTTTACAGAGTACCATTCAACATGGTATAATGTCAGAGTTATCAACTATTCATTTTACCCTACATTGCTGACTTAGCAAAAGTACATGGTAGAGAAGAGTAAACCAGGTACAATATACAAAGATACTAAAAAAACTGTAGATATACATTTTGGAAGTTCTAGAGGTTTTGCAAATGCATCATGCAAACTGCATGATGGACAAAAGTATTTTCATTCTTCACATGAACATCACCTTGCACTCTAACTTGTCAGAGTGTGAGTCAGACTGACATCATCAGTTCACAGACTTCTCTTGAGTACAAATACTTTTGTAACACATCTGATTTCTTGTGTACAACAGACTTGTACATTTTGCTAAAAGCTTACTACATTTCATGTAGATACATATAGTAAACTTGATATTGTAGTCAACATTCTTTCTCCAATACAGAGTTGGTTCAATGGACTGTTTCTGTGTACATTCAGATAATGAATATCTGGCTCATCAAGAACTTAAAGTTTATATAAGAGAAAAACAAATGTACTTTATAATAAGGTTGCTCATCAAGAATATAAATGATATATATAACAGAATATTTGCATTTAATGACTGAGCAACTGCTTAATACGACCAAATGTTTAATGTACGATTCATAGGAAAATGTGTACACTTAATGATTAAGTTAGGCACTATGTACTCATCACACAAAAATACCTGTATTTAAGATCTATATTGTTTATCAACATTTTAAGCTTTACACTTCACAAAGATACACAAACATAATAACTTTCTCTAACAAGAGTTTAAAATACACATTAAAAAAAACAAAAAAAACAGATCTATGGATAGTCAGTTAATCAAGACTTATATGTTAAGACAGAAACATGTCTGTTGAATGACAATTCTATCCATTATAAAAACATACATGTTTGGTGACAAACATAATAACTTTCTCTAACAAGAGTTTAAAAATACACATTACAAAAAAACAAACAAACAGATCTATGGACAGTCAGTTAATCAAGAGTTATATGTTAAAACAGAAACATGTCTGTTGAATGACAATTCTATCCATTATAAAAACATACATGTTTAGTGACAGTCAGTTAACCAAGACTTAAAGTAAATAACATTAAATACACCTTCTTTAGTGACAATTCTTTGCATTATAAAAATAAATGTATATTTAGTGACAATTCTACTAACCAAAGTTCTTCAAATATGTATTACAGAATAACTTCCACAGTTAACTGGCCAATCTCAAGCTTAAAAATTTTGTGATATATGGTCATATCATGTTTAATGGCAAAATATAACAATCTCAGTCAACAAATATACAACACCTATAATCAAACTTGTAGCACAATAACCTGTGCAAGTAACATACTTAAAATTATGTTAGAAATAACATATGCACATTACCATTAAATATGATTCAATTAAAGCTGATATTTTTCCAATTTAATAAACTCTGACCATTATTAAAATTCTTGAAATTTTAGAAGAAAGTCACTAAAAATGCAAATTATCATGGGTACCAAGAAGTTACATAAGTTTTCTCTTTCAAGATGCTTTGAATGAATTATAGTATACACATGAGTATACATGGCAAAACTGTTGTAGTAATCTAAGGTTATACCTTCACACAATTGCCTGATCTCTGCAAAAACAAGAGATTCATGGAACTATACGCAGAAGGAAAGTGCAGAAATTCGTGGAAGTTGGAATAAAAGTGACAAGACACAGTATTGATGCCTCAAAAACAAAACTACTTATTAAGTTACAAAATCAAACAAAGAAGCAAAAAACAATAAAAAAATGACAAAAGTGAAATATATGAATGAACAGATTGTGACTGTAGGTGTAAATATAACAAGAGTATTACAAAATTACCAATTTTAAAATGAAGTAGAGATCCTGCTATAAAAATAATGAAACAAGAATTAAAACCACTTTTGCAGCTTTATACACTTATCTGTAGGCCAAAGTAAGGATCAAATTTTATAAATTTATGATTGTGGTTTTACTTCTTGTTTCATTAGTTTTTATAGCAGGATCCTTACTTTACTTTAAAATTCACAATTTTTTAACACTTTTGTTTGTTTACTTTTTATGCTATACCTGTATTTAGAAACTGTCATGTGTCTATCCATTGATATGTAGCACCATCTGTTGTGTTGAAAAGACATTTAAGTACATGCATGATATGTTTACCTTTATATTATATATATATATATATATATATATATATATGGATTTTTATTAGAATATCAAAAGTGGATACCCACAGACCAGTCAAGTACGCTGGAGAAATCTTGTAGCTGTAATCCAAGCTATCTAGACACTAGCCCAGCTGACATGACCAGGTAAGTAGGTAGTAGTGTCGAAAAAGTTGCTGTTTTAGAAATTTTTGAATTGTTATACTGAAAAAGTTAGCAACCTTTTTAGCATATCATTAGCATATATGCACATAATATATCATAACCAATACTTTGAATGGTCGTTTTTCACTTAGGAATTCGATAGGGTGTTTTTTTTGCCACATGAATTATTTGGAATCCTTGTCAATACCTACTATTAAGTACTACCATACTTAAAATGAGACAAGGATGGAACTTTCATGATGAGTCTTGATTCTGTTAAAAAGGCAAATAGCTCTCCTTAAGCTCAATCCAATGATAAGGTGAAGTACAAGTCTTCACCACTCCTAGTAACATACACAACTTAGTAAATAGCTGACAAATAGAGTTTGCTTCTTGACCGGTTTGAATCTCCTTTGGAGCTCTAAAGCTCACTATCCACTGGGCAGCAACACATTGTCAACTGTCTGATCTTGTGTATAAGCCAGTGAATTTGCTTCAACCCATTTTAGTAAATTAATTAATTACAAACGATGTGTATTATTTACCATGGTCTGTCTCTTGGAGAAGTCCTGCTATATCTAAGGCTATCTGCTGGAGTGGAAAACTGACAAATTGTTGACAGAGGACAATAAAATCATCTCCACATGTTGGCTGTTGTGCTAGACACTCCCTGGTGTCTCACAATACATGTGTTATGAAGGGTGTGGAGTATTTCAGCTCTTAAGGTTCTCTGGACTACTAGATACATAACAGTATAGCATTTACTCCTGTAATTGTAACTGATCAAACATTTTGTTCACCGACCTGTTAGGCCTTTGCTTCTCCTTGCTACACAAGAAAGAGCATCTAAACCAAGTTTGGAACTCTTAACTGCTCTTCTCACAGCTTTCCTAAGTACAATTTAGTGTTCATTCTCAAGTGGCTTCCACACTATTTATGGGTCATTACTAAGGCTCAGAGCTTGGGTTTCAAGCAGCATAATGTCCAGGATCTGGACACTCTATAAACGGGCAAGCTTTCACCTACCAGTAAGAAAGCCTGTCTGTATTATCATGCTGTCAACCTGGTCACTGTGCTGTACAGTAAAATCGTAATCCAATATGTGACTATATCTTTTGGCTCCCTAACATTCATTACCCACTTTAATGAAATGTGATATACCCAGGTAGAAACAACTAATGCCAAAAGTGCTTAAAATACACCACTATTGCAAATAGCTCTTTTTTGTCATATGGTAATGCTGTTCAACAGACATGAGCATACTATAGCACACGCTGCTCCATCTCTACTCACTATATGTCTGAGAAACTCTTTGTCAACATACATACATGCAGTCCATGGCTCTTGAACATATGTCAGATGATATTTTATGGTTTCAACACAGAGCTGCAAGTAACATCTGTAGGAAGTTTAAACCTAAAAATCTGACACTCAACTGCCATCACAACTCTTACATATTTAGTGATGGTACCAAAAGTGGTGTGAATTCTCAGTTTACCACTCACTGCTAGTTAACCCTGCCTTCTTAATAACTTTCCACTTGCTCCTTCAATTTCAGTTGATCTGCTCAAAACTGAACAATTTGATCCCCATTACCTGATGTGCCAGGATGTGGCTTAACTATTTTGATGAGTGGATGGAGAATAAAACTCTGGAATGCCATTCTTAGTGCTAGGGAGCACTCAATATTCAACACAGAACTCCTCAGAGTTAATTGGAGCTCCTCTGTTCTTATTCTTAGACCAATCACTCACCTATCTACACTAAAGTTCTTTCCAGAATGCAGCTTTATTTCTCATTAAGAGCACAAGAGAGAGAAAGTTAAAAATAACTTAAAGGGAATAAAAAACAAAAATCAGCTACCCTTTCCACAATTACTTGATTAAGGTAATTTGTGAGAATCCACAGTTATACGTGCAAAAATTTAGCTGGTTTCCACAAAAAAATGAGGGATTCGTGGATCTAACTTGTGGAAGGAAAGTGCAGAGGTTTGTGACAGGTGAAATAAAAGAGACAAGATACAGAGTTGAAGTCCAAAAAATAAAAAAACTATTTATTAAAGCAGAGTCAAACAAAAAGAAAATGACAAAAATGGAAGTAAATGAATAAATAGATTTTGACCATATGTAACTCGATCAGCAGTTAAAAATACAACAAGAGAAAGACAGGGCTTTTACAGTGAGATTTGGCTCTCTCAAAAAGGGAAACTGTTCTACACAAGCTAAATCTTAATGCTCCAAAAAAGTGCCAGAACTGCACATCACAAAGCACATTCTCCTTGCATCTGATCAATCAGAAAAGGACACTCAGGACATATCTGTTCTATTTAACAGCTGCAAGGTATCCTTCAAACAAAAGCTCAAGAAGAACACAGTGCAACTATCCAGTGAAATGGTAGATAAATTCCACTATTGAATATAGAATGTTCTAGAATCAGAACTAAAGAAATTTAAGAATCCTCTAAACAACAAATATATACATGACAGCAAAGAAAGATATGTAGTATCTGCATACTACACTGTTATAATGAAAACAAAATTATCATGATCTCCAGCTTATAGTGTATATATTTTAACTTGGAATACTTGTAAATGTAGCACTTCTTACTAAATGCAGTATAAAATTATCAGACACACTGTTTGGTTCAGTAAAGAAAACTTAATATAATACTATTACTATGTAACAAAATTTAGAAAACAATTATTCATTTCCTTGAAATATTTTAATCTTTCTTATGTAAAGCATAATTTAAAGTGAAAAATGACACTACCTAGAAAAAATTATCTCTTTCTTTGATTTTGATAAGAGTTATCACAAAGAATCACATATAAAGTGTAATAGACTTAAAATAAGATAGAGAACAAAGAAGAAGAATAGTCAACTATTCGAAAGCGCTTGAGTTTTGGGTCTTACTTTACGTCTATCTCTTTCTTTGAAATATTCAATCTTTGCTATGTAAAGTGGCATCTAAATGACAAATAAAACTTACTTATGTACAAGTTTCTCCTTACTTGAATAAGTGCAATAATTATACAAGCGTAACTTCATAATTTTTAATCCATCTACATTGTTTTAAGTGCTTCTGCTTTATTTCTTCTCATAAATATGTACATGCGAATGATTGTTCTATTCTAACTTGCATTTATTATTTGTGACTTTTATCTTTTAATCCATCTCCATTGAAAAAACTAGGATTTCTATCTTTATTGTTTATGTAAGCATAGGAAAAAACATGCAATGTCATAAGCTTAACTATATTAATTGCAAATGTAGCCTGACTTTAGTCAATGAACAGTAATGAATGGATAGTAAAAAAAAAAGGTACAGAGAAGAACCATACTTAATTACTTAATCTGTCACATGGTTTTAAAAGTATACAGTTTAATATTTACGTGATCATTTGGTCTCAGGCTTGCATCTACTAAAGGTAAGATTGAAAATTACTTATAGATTGAAAGCTTTAATTAAAAACGAATGTTTCACTACAAATTACATGGTATTTTTAACAGATAACAAACTGCCTGTCAAAATTAATTTGACAGCTAATTGTCACTTGTTTGTCATTAAATTCAAGTTTTGATTTTAGTCAATATAGTTTAAAGTTGAAGTTACCTGATAATACATTAATTTGATAACCCTCAGTTTTATTTCAAGAACATTCTTCACACAATTAGAATTTAAGTTTGATATTGAAATAAAATTAGTTATGGAAGATCATTAGTAATTCTTGGAAACAATGACCAGGTTCAACATTCTAGTATGGAAAACCATGTTTTCCACAGCAATCATGCTCTGTCCGCTCCCCTTGCTTCTTGAAAATGGTCTTGTAGTGATGTATCCGTGACATTAGGCTTCTTTGGAGAAGAGCCATACCAGTGCTCCTTCCTCTCCTCCTGTGCAACTTTCCACAAACTGGTCAATATCTTAATTTTACAATTTCCAAATACACAATAGTCCACTGAGCTGCATTTGGAGACTGATTTGACAAGTAAATGAACAATAGCATGGGATTACCTTGGTTATAGTTTTTTCAGCCAACTTTCTCATTAAAATTGTGTTGATTTCAAAATCTGTTGGAAGCTTTTGAACTTTGGCTTGTAAGGCTTTGTCAAGTTCTTGTTTATTATCTTGTTAATGGTACCAAGAAATATGGCTAACTTCAATGCAATTGCTTATTGAGCCAAAGGGTTGCTTTATAAAAATAGCCTTAATTTATGGAGTATACCATTGATTCTAACTAACAAATAATATAACCTTAAAGGCCAATGTAATCCTAAAAGCAGTTTATATGCTTCCAAGGATAACACTGAAAACTTTAAAATGTTGTACTTTGGATCTACATCATCTAATAATATTACTTTATTAATATTTCTCTCTGGAAAGAGCTGTAACATATTTCTCCATTTACTGACTAAATTTTGGAATAATTTTAAATGACCAGTCACTGTAGGCTGCTTTAATATTCAGAACAGGTGCCTGTTTATCATGCAGTTGTATTTCTAGAACTATCCCAAAAACTTGCTGAGAAATTATAGCTAACTTGCACACATTTCTATAATCTATAAGAATTTTTTTTCTTTATAATTACACAGAACATTAACTAATTCCCATAGATTAAAGCAATTTGGACAGATCAATATGAAAGTAAATAAAACTTATCATACCAACTACTATGATAACAAAACTCTCTCTTTTAACTGGGTAACACTTCAACCAAAAATAATTTAATAGAATACACACTTCTTAATATACACTGCATCAAAAATTCAAAGTAGTAAGAATTTAATGAAATTTAGAAAATTACACCTGATGTAATTCCAAAAACTAATACATCATTAGTTATATGCAGCTTTCATGCATTCTGCTGTGAGAATATACAATTATTTCAGTGCATTTTGCATGTGCTTCACCAACACTGGAAAGATGGTACCCTCATTTCATTTTTAAGACTTGATCATATGCTGAATTGAATTTTGGTGGTCACTCCAAGCTTGGTAATTGTTTCCATATAATTGTGTGAAAATATTACCTGCTGGTGGCAGAATAACAGACTATCAGATCTTTGCAAATGTTGGAAACCTAGCACATAGAAAAAAAAAACTTGTTTTGTATCTAGGTCTATAATGGGAAGGTTACTGCCATGTGATCCATCAAGTGGTCTGGGTACTAGGTAATTTGGAGAAGATCATGGAAGAACAACTACATAGTGTAATGATCATTGTTTGTAAAACATTAAATTGCTAGTATAATGCACATGGATTCAATACTTGGACTTCAAGACAACAACTGAAATTATAAGTGAACAAAATTGTATGGAACAGATTTAAGGTCAGAAGACCTGCTTCAGTTCATACAGTTGGTTGCATAGTTTGCTTGGACATTTGTCAAGATCTCATACTTTGGCAACAATAGTATTATGCATGTGTACTTTTCACAGACCATGCATGATTTCATGTCTGTTCCAATGGTTTATGTGAATGAGTTTCTCAGTGCAATTTTAATGAACATTACCATTACTGTGGCAGTTATGTTATGGTATAGTGAGGCATTATTATGCATGGATGTACAGATCTTCTTTCATTCCTGAAGGACAGGTTTACTACTCAAGAATATATTTTTATGGTACTGGATTGAGGTGAAATTAGGCCAGACTTTATTCCAATATAGGGTAATGCCAATGTTATACTACAAGAACTGTGATGAGCTACATTGATTGAGAATCTAAAGAGGTTATGAACTGGCTAAGAAGGAGCCCTGATCTAATCCCATACAACTCCTTTGGGACTTCCTTCAATGCCATGCATGTTACAAAATGACATGATACAGCTTTGTATTACACTGACTGAGGAATAGGACAAGATCCTTCATATCACTATTTGTTGAATAATCAGAAGTAAGCCCACAGTTTAAAGAGACAGTATCATTGCCAGTGGTAGTCCATACTCTTTACTGGGTAAGTATCATTGCCAGTGGTAGTCCATACTCTTTACTGGGTAAGTATCATTGCCAGTGGTAGTCCATACTCTTTACTGGGTAAGTATCATTGCCAGTGGTAGTCCACACTCTTTACTGGGTAAGTGTCATTGCCAGTGGTAGTCCACACTCTTTACTGGGTAAGTGTCATTGCCAGTGGTAGTCCACACTCTTTACTGGGTAAGTATCATTGCCAGTGGTAGTCCACACTCTTTACTGGGTAAGTATCATTGTCAGTGGTAGTTCACACTCTTTACTGGGTAAGTATCATTGCCAGTGGTAGTTCACACTCTTTACTGGGTAAGTATCATTGCCAGTGGTAGTCCACACTCTTTACTGGGTAAGTATCATTGCCAGTGGTAGTCCACACTCTTTACTGGGTAAGTATCATTGCCAGTGGTAGTCCACACTCTTTACTGGGTAGCTCTTTTACTCTTAAAATTTAATCTATTAGTTTGTTTTGTTTCAAATATTCATGCAAAGCTACATAAGGTTTGTATGCACAGGTCAATCCTAGTTTTGAATTGATAAACTAGAGGAAAGAAAGTTAGTCAACAGCATCCACTACAAACTTTTGGGCTACTCTATTTAAATAATGGGATTTGTATGTCACTCTTATAGCGTACCCATTGTCCCAAAGTATGGAGTATGATTTTCTATTTCTTTTTTTTTCTTTTGCAGCAACAGGACATGAATCACAGACCCATGGATCAACAGTCCATCATAATAACCACCAGGCCCTGCCCACACCAATAAGCAATCTAATTTCAGCTTTATTGTTCCTTTGGACAGAGAAAGATTTAACTAATAATGAGCATTATTTCTATTCTAGAAGAAAATTTGTTAATTTTTAATTGAATGTAGTGAGAGATTCAAAATTCTGAAAAATGTACTTAATACTCTGTTTCATAACTTACACGGAACATAAAAAGTAAAAAAAAAATTATCAAAGCTACCAACCTTTCTCTATGTGCTCTATTATTTGTCTGACAGCTTTCTTTAAGCTATTGGCTCTACGCATTAAGGCTTCTCGTTGAATAAATACATCCTGTATTTTTTAAGAAGTTAAGAAACACATGTTAGGTTTATAAAATAAATAAATAAGTAATCACAGTATTCAAATAAGAACAGTAACATTATATATGAAGATGTCAAATGTCCTTAGTTACCACCGATTTACCTGTATAATTTTTTCTACAATTATTCTTAATAAGTTTAATTTAAAGTTTAAAACTAGAAAAATCCTTATTTTATGTAAATGAAAAATTAAGCAAGAGAAATTCATGTTCAGTTCACAATATAATTATCTTTTTATTATTTTTCTTCTTTTATGTCTCTTACCAACACAGTTACACAGTAAGGGCCTTTTCTTTTAGATATTTTAATTAAATACTGGCTAATGATTATTATCATTGTTCCCTACAACTTGTATACTACTGAGCCCAGTAAAAAATTTTGGAAATGTAAATTTTATTAAATAAAGTAAAAACAGTAATATTTAGAGAAATATAACTTTAAAATGAGCAAACAAACAAATGCAGCTACAAAATGATAAAATTACAAGTTTAAAGTACTAACTCAGACTTGAATATTGTTTTAACAGTGCCTTTCCTCAAAACAATTAGCCTAATAAACATTCTTTCAAGGGTAAAATAAGTTTAAACTCTAACTTAACTGTCATTTATTTCCAAAACACTTGTATATCATGAACAACAGGGATGACAGCAGCATCAATAAACATTTGACACGTGCATGTTCAGTAACACACTTAGTTCTTGAACGATTCGGAATATACACATTCCATCTTCAGCAAACTATATTGAACATGGTAAATTATTGGGTACAGACATTTTATAAAGTTTAAACATTCTATAAAAAGTAATAGAAATATTTGAAAAGTTCAATATTTGATGACATTGTGAAGTGATAAACATCTTTTAATTAAAGAAAGTTTATCTATTATAAATGAACTCCCAACTTTAAATGATAACACAACTTCACTACAGTTAAGTCTGTTCTAAATACTTGTATAAAATTGTAGCATTATTATATTCTTAGTTTAATTGATTGTCTCTTAATTTATTTCATACTTTTATTCTGTATTTTAATTACTTTTTATAGAATGTTTAAACTTTATAAAATGTCTGTACCTAATAATTTACCATGTTCAATATAGCTTGCTGAAGATGGAATATGTATATTCCGAAATGTTCAAGAATTAAATTTTTTGTTACTGAACATAAACGTGTCAAATGTTTGTTGTTGCTGCCATTGTCCTGTTGTTCATCATTGCACTTCTATATGAAATGAACTTCTAATAGTTACATTCTTCTAAAGCTGAGTTTCGTAAGTCTAATAGAGACATAAAAGTGAAGCAACTTTATAGCTTTACCTTTGTTAATTTTTTTGACCAATTTAATGCTACAGGTGATTTGGTTTTCTTTTGTTGTTGTTTTTTTTTTGGAGGGAGGAGCAATAAATGCTAGAAAATGTTACAAAATGGTAAGTTTTGGACTATGTAAGAAAAAAGTAAGCTTACCCAATTAAGATAACTTACAAATTTAAAACAATTAACCAGTAATTTGTTATCTTTTAAGTATAAAAATATAAAATAAATACCTTAACAATCAGAACGGTGAGAATTAATGCTAAACCATGACAGAGAGACCTAAAATTACAACTTGTTCGGAAGACAATCAAAAGGTATAAAATCAAATTTTAAGCAGTGTTAAGGAGTGAGGTATAGTCTTAGTATATCTTGTTCCTAGTTATCAGACAAAAATATTTGTATGTTATTTAACTTACTACTTCCTGTTAGTCTTAAAAAGAAATATGACTAATTTACATATTTTCTACAGAAATATCTTTTAGTTTTTTATAAATTAGTTATGAGTTATTTTTTCATTGTGAAACTGAGTAAAGAATTACAGGGACAGCAGAATCATGATACTTGTACTGTTATAGTTTATAAGGAAAATTCTAGCCCAACAAATGATAGTACATCTTCAAAGTGATATATGTATGCATGTTGGTAGTAGTATTTTACCTTTTTCTTTCCCTCCAATATCTCCTTTTCACCTTTCTCAGCTTTTTTCCTCATCATACAATTCAGGCGCTTCATTTTTTAGCTGCTCTGAAGTAAATTGTGGTGAAGACAAAGCTATTGCCTCTTCATCAAGGGTATTTAATAATGAGTCCAATTTTTCATTCAGCACAGCACACTATTTTCCGAAGTAAATACAAAACTCTATTATATCACTGCAAATTATTAAATATACACATAATTTAATATAAAAATAGTATTATTAAAACATACAACTTACTATCAGAACATTATGAATCATTAACACAACTCTTATTATTAACACGACACATAAGTGAGTGAATACACGTTTTTATTATTACTATAAAACACCAAAATGTAATTACACAAAATTAACAATATTATGTCATAGAAGAAATGACACAAAAAAATTAATGTTAATGCAGAACATAGTGAATAACATGTATAATTTCTATATTACATAAGAGACTGTTTTCTGATTTACATATTATGGAACATTACTGGTGTATATTTGTTTTCTTGAAAATAACTGATGATTTGGAAAAAATCTCTAAAAATAATAAAAAATTACAAGGTAAATAGCTTAAAAATATTTCTCAAACTTCTTTTTTAATATTTTCAAGTACCCAAAATATTAGACAGCTAACAATATTTAAAAATATACTTCTAAATAACTTAATTAATGTAGCTTTGAAAAACATGCTACACTACCTGTTTTATGACATATAAATCACAAGATCTATAGTAATTTTTTGATAGTATCACCTTACCTTTTGTGTTATAGAGTCATCAAAATATGAGCTTTGTCGTGCATAACCAGTTCCAACTTTGGCTATAAAATCTTTCACAGTTTCACATAACACCCTGAAAGTATGAAATTGTTATAAACCATATTTCTAATGTTGTAATTCAGATGTTAACTAGAGAGCACAGTGCATTAAGATAAAGTTAGTTCTAGAATATTCTGCAATATTAATGAATGAGAGGCTTTGTTTAAATATCTAGAACAAGAATTAGATTATAAATGTGGGTAAGCCAGTCAATAAGCTAAGTTAGTAAGCTTGTAGAGTGAATCAGTTAGTGTTGTTCCGACAGCGGAAGTCACGTGATGCTGGAAGCATACACACTGGAGTTTCTCGAAAGATCATGAATTTGCCTGGCAACTTTAGTCTGATCGATACACCCTCTTTTTAGTATATAAGCCTGGTGAGAAAAACCAGTGGGAGGGGCAGAGATAGATAACTGAGTCAAGCGAACAGTATTCACACACTTTACTTACGGTGCCTCTATAAATCACAGTGAACCTTTATAACACACGGTTAAGTTTAAAGTGACTATGGAAATCCTGTGAAGTACAAAGTTGTATCGAGAAAGAATAAACTAGATTTAATTAAGAAAGGATTTGTATCACTGAAGTTCTTCAGAAAAAAATTATACCGGAAATTAACAAACGAGCAGGTACATGACAATATGTTATCAAGAGTTCACGATGAGCGAGTTGATTACGAGTTGATATAGGTGCAATTCATTTAGTAGGGAGCTAGTTAGCCCTATAGTTCTCGCTGATCACAGGTCGAGTTTCACCGAAGACGTTAGGTAATGTTTTTGTAAAAGTACTAATGTCCGATGTGAATCCACTTAAGTGTTCGAAATGTAATGTTCGAAACTTATAAACGTTCCTGGTCAATATATCTGAAGTTCACGATTAATAAGCGTTAATCACAGTTATAGCTTACGATGTTTTTTAGCACACCAAGTATAGCAAACCAATAATAGATACTCCTCTTGGCGCGTTGTGTTGGTTATATTTATAGCTGTGTGAAGGCGCTCTAGAAAATTCAGATTATGTAACAATACAAATTTAAGCGTTTTCGTACATTCATATATTGTTGATTCTTACTCTCGAGAAT